CACACGTGAGCACACACCTCCTCTACACCAATCAGCGCTCAGGGGGAAGGGGGTTGGAAGAAAGGAGGGCGGGTGGGGGGGCGTGCTCATTCATTTCACAGACACAGAAGCTCCACCCACCTGCTGTCTCTCTCTTGCTTGCACTTGTTCACTTTTAGGAAGCATCCTAGTTTCATATTAATCATTTCTTATCCTCATTCTCCCTCAGTTTATCTTCCCTCACCCCTCCTTCTGATGCAGTGTGTCATGCACACACACTGATACACACATACACACCAAAGGAGGGTTTGTTTTTTGTTTTTTTCAGACAGCTCCTGCAGAGAGCAGTGTGATAAGCATGTCTATTTTTATATCATTTGCGATTTGGAAAAAAAGGTAACACAACATCTGCATAGAACAAACTTAAATATGACACATCTGTAGAAACTGCAATGCACTATTACCATTTATTTGCTAAAATGAATATAATGAAAAAAATTAAATTATAGCAAGGGCAACTGTTTGGGCACCCTTTCAGTTCACACTTCAGTCTTATTTTTTGTTAGGTCTTAGAGTTTATTTGACTCATTTGCCTTAAGTGTAGACAATTCCAGACTACAACAAATTATATGATCCTTCAAGTCTCTCAGGGTGCTGAGCTTACACTCAATAGCCATGTGATCAAAGCAGCTGACTGAGGGCCTGAAACAAAAGATAACTGACTCTAAAAAAGCAAGAGAAGACCATAAAAGATACTTCCTGCTTGTAATTTCCACTGTTTAAAATGTCATTAAGAAGTGGAAGCTAAAGGGAATTGCTGAAGTCAAGACAAGCTCTGGAAGACCAAGAACAATCTATGAAAAAGCTGCTCATAGACTGGTCAGGTATGCAAAGCAAAACTCCCACATCACTGCTGTGGACCTACAGGAAGATTTGACTGGAATGGGAACAGTGATGGCCTATTGTGCAGTGTCATTGGACAAACATCATCTACACAGAAGGGTCATCAGAAAGAAATCCTAAACTGTGACCTCATCACAAAAGTCAACATCTGAAGCCAATTTATCAGAGACCTTCTTCTGAGACGTCACATCTATTATAAATAGAGGCCATTCTAAAAACAGCCCATCATTTGTGTTTTACCAGTTCCAAAACAATGCGTTATCCTTAGCCTCAATGATTGCTACTTGTGATTTAATTTGTGGACTCTAGGATAGGCTCTCATAGCAATTATGAGAGTTCACAGAATAAAATATATTTCAGACAAAAACAAAGTGGACGCTGACTGTCTTGGCTGCAAACATTAATCATTTTCATATTCCATTTTTTTTTGCCTGTTCAAAAGCTACTGAAGAAAGACTGTCATCTAGTTCTGATTGCTTACAATTATTATCTTAACTCTGACTGGCCTATAAAAATGAAATACTATATATGTGGGCTGGCTGAATGAACTACAGCTGTTCTGTGTTTCAGGAAGAGGAGGGGTTTTTAGAATTCTAGAATTTTAGAATTCTCAGACTCTCTTCCCTTCCCAAAATTAAAAACCAATTCTACACTTTTCAAGTGAATGCCATATCCATCATTCAAAATGGCTAATTTAGCCAAAAGGTAATGACTTTGCATGTACACCTTATGCTAAAAGAATGTTTATAAACCTGATACGCCATATACATTTTGCTGAGTTTTCTTCTTTTACAATAGCCATGTTTTCATGCAGCCTGATAATCCGTTAATAATCCGACTAATAGCTCAATCGGAATAGAATACGTCCATGTAAACACCTCAATTGGAATAGTCTAGTCCGATTGAGGCCATTCGGAATACAATTTCTATCCGACTGAACGAGGTGGGTAATCCTGTAAATAATCCGTTAAATAGAAGAATAATAACCATGCAAACGCCTGTATCGGATTACATTTTCAATCGGAACGTGTAAGTACATTTTGTGCATGTGCGTCGCGTCATGGCAAAAGTACAAAACTCATAAACCGGTCCTGGCAAAGGTTTATAACGTTCAACATGAGGGGAGCAGAAACTGGTCTGCAGATTTCAAGTTTATGCTCTGATCTTTAAAAGACGGACGTCCAGCTTATGTGTCTCAGAACACGATGTCTTCCTCTCAGCCTTCTTTAATAAGGACATGTGAAGTGCATTTTCCTGAGTCTGACATCATTTTAAAGCAATTAAAAACTCCAGCACACCAACTGGAAACTCATCTCACTCTGACTGGACCTCATGTGATGCTCGCTGTCATGGTAATGTTTACTCTAAGTGGTACTGCACGCATGCGCGTCATTTTGGATTGGATTACTTGTAGTGAACATATAAATTTCATCAGATTGTTGAATAGAGTGTTCATATAAACACCTCAGTCTTAATCTGTAATTGGAATGTATTCATTCGGATTGGCAAAAATCTTTGCACGTAAACACAGCGAATGACACTAAAGGGAATGCAACACAGAGATATAAAAGAAACTGTAAATAGTTCTTTTACAACAATCTAAAGTGCTCAATAAATGACACACATTGCATTTATATGTCTGATGTTGCTTGGCAACACGAATGCCACTGTTTTATGTTCATTATATCATGGATACAATTCTCATCATCTATTAAGTATACTGCTTTAAATATTGCTAAACCTGAAAAGCCAAACCACAGTATGTCAAAACCACAGCATACCAGTATAGGTAATATACCGTCCAGTCCTATTTTTGGTACTTTGTAAGTTGTATCGTAATCGCAATATGTAGCAGTATAATCAAAATGTGGAATTTCAGTCATGTCCTGCAGCCCTAGAGTGGAGTGTTCAGTGCAGTCAGTGCTGTGTATGGAGTGAGAACAATGAAGTCAAGGCAGAGACAGGAGCTCTTACCACCGGCCTGGCGATGGTCCAGCAGGCTTCTACAGTCCAGTGCCAGCCTGCGGGTGGCATGGGGCTCCAGAACAGCCGTAGGCACAGGCATACCAGCTTTTACACTCACACGCAGATACTTCAAACACCAGGACGCCAACTTTCAAAATACTTTCTATGCTGACTGCACATAAAAAGCAGGCTAATTCTTTTTGACACGCCTGAAAAATGTCTTTTAGGCAGATGCCTAAATATAATAAAGGAATAAAAAGGGAATTATTTTGGTATGTAAGATGTGAGACTTACTGTAATCTTGAAATGATTCAAAACAAACTAAATAATACAAAGTGAACTGCTACTCCACAGGAACTGCTATTTAACACAGCACAAAAGAACAGACCAGACAACTCCCTTCCTAAATGAACAACAAACAGATTAGTTGGTTACCCTATTGTGAGCTAACAACAACTGTCCTGAATGGAAAACAAGAAAATAAAATTCAGAGTCAGCACCAAGCTTCAAAAACTTATCTGCTCAACCTTCCCAAGTGCACACTCTTCAGAATCATCACAGGGCCCTCTTGAAAGCACCTGAGCACCTTTCCTGAGACTAGAATCCAGTGCTATAGTTCCTCTGAAAGCTGGTCAGTTCTCTCTCAGAGCTTTAAACCATGCAGAGTATCTATAAGCATTACTCAGCCCCCTCTGTCATCCCCCTCGATCTTGCTCGCTCACTCACTCTCTCTCTCTCTGCTTAGGCAGACAATAAGAGAGGTGGGACAGTGGATGGCATTGTGTTAGTGAGATGTTTGTTAATGAGGAGAGAGAGGGAGAGTGAAAGACAGAGGCCAAACTCAGGGTTGGCCACCGAGCACTGCTAAGACGTTTAAAGACTGTTAAGGAGTCTAAACAAATTATGAGCTATTCTACTAAATCCAGCAGGCACTGGCCCACCACTCAGCTAAGCCCTGCCCCATCTCTATAGAGTCTAGTTCTATACAGCAGCAATTTAGAGCCTAAATTAATGGCCTAAATTAATGGACAGTTTTATTTTTATAGTTGTCTGCTAACATATCTATAGGATTTTCCACTGGTGTGGTTGTGTCCAGAGAGGTCAGTATACTGTGCTTTGTAAGGAATCAGAATTTAATATAGGTAAAATGGGGCTGTTTGTTAGATAATATAGTATGGGACATGAGGGTCAATGTCCTGGAATGACAAAGCCGCTAACTACAAAAAAGTACATATTGCTCATTTAAAAAGCATCAGCTACATCAATTTGAACTGAATAAACATGCTACCAAGATATTTTACATAACTGCCTTCTAGAGTCCGACTGATTAATTGTAAACAATGAAGCTAAAATGTTTATCTTGCATAAACAGGGAGATGATGCATCGCTGCATCTGAAAGCATTTAATTCATAAAACCTTTGATGAGGATAAACCACAAAATCTTATTAACAGCAGTATTACCTACATGCCACACATGTACTTTTCTGAGAAGTTTGACTTTGGACATTCGGTAATACTGTGTAGCTTGGGACATGCTTATTTTTCAGGCACATTTAGTGTGGGGATTAAAAAGATCCATTACTACAAATATGTACAGTATCGCAGAAAAATCCGTGACCACCATTCACTTACTATAAGTTTCCAAAACAGGAATTGAAAAAACTACATGACAATTTTGAGAAAATGGGTCTCCAAACAACTGTGCAAGACCTGGTAGACCATCAAAACTGGTCCCAACAGATAAACAATAGTTAAAACTCTCATCTTTCAGAGAGAGGAGAAAATCAAGCTCTACTTTTGGTTCAGATCTGAAAAAAATCAACAGGTATTTCTCTTCATTCTTCCACTCCAAAAAGACAACTCAAGGCTATAAGTCTGAAAGGATGTGTAGTGTTCAAAAGTTTACTGAGAAAATAGAAAATGTGAAAATGAAACCAAGAAGCTGCTGGTGGTTTCAGAACAATGAACTGACCACCCCAGACTCCAGAGACCTCAACATCACTGAATGTGTTTGAAATTTCTTGGATGCTGAGAAGCAGAAAATCCAACCAACTCCTAAGACGGGAGGATGGAAGGAGGAAGGATGCTTGACTCTGCAGTGCTGTCTCACACCGCAGCTGGAGACTCTTTGACCTACATTAACCCAACTTACCTGACATTATGATGTGAGAACAGGCTTCTGCTTTCACTTCAGCTCAGGGCGCTGCCCACCGTTTCTCTCTTCCTCTCCGGTTCACTCACAACAGGCAAACAGCAGGCCGACACAAGGCCTACGACGAAAAGACAGACAAATGATCTCGGTCTGCACTAAATTTAACACTTTCATATCGTGGGTTTCATACATCGTTAGTTTTTAACACACAATCACAACCCACAGTCGCTTCCTCAATTAACTGCAACGTTAAATAGCTAGCTAAGTTAACACGGACCTGATGTTGGCTTCTTTTTGACAAATTATCCGTTCCACCTTAAATTCCGAAGAAGTTACATTCTGGTGCCTCATAGACGGAACGTAACTGCTGGACCATTTAAGGCGGAATGAAACAACTTCAGGCTGGTTCAGTCAGCTAGCTAGCTAAACAAGAAGGCTAGCTCTCTTCCCATGGGGTTACATGCTAGCTAGTTAATCGACAGTTTCAGAAAAACAGGCAGATAAAGCGTCTTTTCGTAGTTTTATATTAGCTAATCTATTAATACTCATGTCTGTGCTGAATGTTGTTCATTAACTCCAGACCCTCCTTTCTAGCTAGTTAGCTAACTAGCTAACGTTGCCAGCTAGTTATCCTGTTTGATCTGCAGTAACGTTACTGTCTGAAAAAACAACCGCTTAGGTTGGGTCAGCTACCAGAATATCTGTAAAAGTGGACATTTTCTCACCCCTAGTGTCCCACACCATGACACAGAAGCAGCCCTCACATTTTCTTGTGCGCTAACGTGGACATGGTGTCCGGTCTGAAGCTGGTGAGTGCTGTGTGTCCACTGCTGTTCTGTAGAGACGCTCTCACTGGTTTGTTTACATACAGGGATTTGCTCAGATCTGCAGCTCTGTACTTGTGTTAGCGGAAAATGACTGTGCTGTGATATTTTTGATATTGTGGGTGAAAAAAAACTATAAAAAGCTATGAATTTGTTCACTTTTAATTTTATTTTATTTTTAAATTATTATTGTTTTGAATTCATCGTTTGAAAAAATAAACTACTATAATATATAATAATTTTATGATACTTTGTGTTCTTTAAATGTTGTTTTCTGTTTTTTTGCTATGTAGTTTTTAAAGTACATTTCAAAGTACTTTCAGCTGCATTTTCATGTATGAAAAGTATACACACTACATATAAATATAACTATATAAAATATATAATAACATTTTTGATTATAAATAGCAGCAGTCATAGTAATAGCAGTAATAGTAGTAGCTGTATTATATACATTATGTATTATATTTATTGAATGGCAGCAAACAAGAAGATACAAAAGACAATAAATACAGACAATAAACTGTACAAACAGTATATATAGGACAACAGATAAAAAAGTGGGATACAGACAATAAGATGGAACAAGAGCACAAAATACAAGCTATCATTTTCAATTAAAACCTTTACTATAGAAACTATAGTCAGTAGCCAAATTATTAGGTAACACTCACTTATTATCTAATGCTGTACTTTGAGTTGTGAGATGTGATACACTTTATGTTTCATGTCCATATCAACACCTCTTCATTTTGCTGGCAGAGGTTCTATACCAGAAATAGCTTCACTGGAGCAACCAGATTTCTAAATCAAACAAGACGCGAGACCGCCTGCCTGTCTGCGTCCCATTTTACCACGCGATGGCAGTATTGTACATGTTTTAGAGGCCTCAGTACTAAAGGGCTCATAATATCCGTGGCAAAAGAGGCAGGCAAATCATGAGAAACTAACTTGATGTAACATAACCCTGTAAAAGTCAACTTGAACTCAATATTACCTTTTTACTTTGTCCCTGGTCATATTAAGCAAGGTTCATCATCCCTCATTATGTAAACCTACATTTTTCTTGTATTTTATTTTTCCCCCCTGTGGTCCGCTTATAACGTTTGTGTGGTTGTATGTACCAAAAACCGTCATAATTCATTTTTACATAATCATTTCTCAACTCTCTTTATCCCATATAATTGAACAGGCTGTGTTTGTTACTGTGCCTTTAGGAGTGATACATGTAAATGAGCTCTGTTCTGATTGATTGTCCTGTACTGTGCCTCATCCAAAAAGCACTCTGAGCTGAATCACCCCTTAAAACGTCAGTGTGAATAGGCAGATGTATGTAAATGTGCTGGTTTTAGTGACATCACAAAAACAATGAATTCAAAACTGGCTTTTTTTTGCAGCTCAATTTCTATAAATGGGCTGTATGGACTGGAGAGTGGATGGTATGTTTAAAAACTTCAACGTTTACATAATACATCAAACTTTTTCATGATATGGGCCCTTTAAAAGATGAAATTCTTGTGTTCCTGCAATCTTTTATCAAAGTCTAGTGACTTCTGCCCGCCAATAAAATGTCCTCTGATTTTTTTTATTACATCATCCTACATCAGCAGGCGGAGAAAAATAATATTAACCAATAACACTATGCTTCACCCTCCACCCCCAACACTAGCACCACCCCTACTTATCATCGACTGAAAACAGCTAGTTAGAGACTTTCCCTTATACCATGTTTCACTCAGAAATATGTCACAGTACTGAAGGAAAGCACACTATGATTTTCAAAATTTAAGAATCTACTACACAGTAAACATTATATATTACAAATATTACACTATATGTAGTACATATTTTATATATGCAGTAAAATATTTTCAATAGTTCCACAAAACTGAACATGAATTAAGATTCAGAAAACATCTCTGTGGCTTTTTCCAAATCACTTCAAAATGTGTGGTTCCTTTCATTATACTTTAAATATGCACTGCTTATGAACTCAGAGAAGTAGCAATTGTTTGGATACAGTTGTAGGCAAAAGTTTGGGCATCGCTAGCTAAATTATGTATTTTTTTAAGTGAAAAGAAATAAACACAACCTCTGCAGTAAAATAGCAATTTTCTGCAAATGTCAATGCACAGATACTTTACAGTTTATTGAGAAATTGAACAAAATAAAATAGTAATTGTGGCAAATGTTTGGACATTCTTCTAGTCGTATGGTGTCAGACCCTAATTAACTTGTTAGGCCTTCTTTGACGCCTTAGCTTCAAGGTTCAAGTCAGGTCAAGATTTGTCATTAGGAATAGTCAGCTGATGGAAATTCCAGAATGTAATAAATCTGACTCTTATACCTTGTACTAACTTTCAACAACCATGGGCTCCTCTACGCAGCTGACTGAGGATCTGAAAATAAAACTATTTCATGCCCACAAAGTAGAGATATCAAAACAATTTCCACTGTCTGAAATGTCATTAAGAAACTGGATGTCAAGGCAAGCTTAAGAAGAACAGCAGCATTCTTAGATAGAACTGCTCATGTACAGAATGCAAAGCAAAACTCCCATATGACAGCAAAGAACTTGCAGGAAGTTTTAGCTGTTGATCCATCATTCTATTGCGTAGTGTTGTGGGCACAAACATGATCTCCACAGAAGAGTCATCAGAAGGAAAACTTACCTTCGAGCTCATCACAGAAGTCAACATCTGAAGTATGCCCAACAATATCTACAACATCTATATAAGCCAGAGGCATTTTGGAAACAAGCGCTGTGGACCAATGAAGAAAAATAGAACTCTTTGGCCCCAATCACAAAAAATATGCTTGCAGAAAAAAAAAAACTTTGCCAACTGTGAGGCATGGACGTGAATTTATTACGCTTTGGCGTTTATGTGGCAGTCAGTGGCAGAGGAAACATTGCACATGTAGATGGAAGGATGGATTTCACCAAATTTTAAAATTCAAATTCTGGGACCAAATAGGACACAGAGAGTCAAGAAACTGAAACTGAAAGTTGACCAGCTTCTAAAAACAGGACAATTATGGCTTTATCAAATTAATCAAATATAAAGTAATTGTGCCTAAAAATTTGCAGGAAATTATATGATTTGAACATAGTTAGCTGTTGTAATGAATGACACAGAGAGGCAGGATACAGGTGCACAGCAAAACAGGTCATTAACACTCATCCAAAAAAATTCAATCCAAAATTTGTAGGCAGAAGGGCAGCGAGAAGATCAAAAATAGGGCAGACAGACTATCAGAGGCTAGACAAAATATGAACATATCAAAAACCACAGACGACATGGTCACAGTCGCAGAAAAAAGGCAGACTCAGAAACATGACAAGAAAAAACAGAGACTTTGCAAAGACACTGAGGCTTTGCTCAGGCTAAATAGCCCAGACTCTTATTACGGTCAGCTGTGTTTCAGATGTGGGGGGGTAATTGGCAGGGCTTAGTCAGCCAGTGATCAGTAGACCGATGAATCACAGCACTGGGGCTTACCAACTATGCCGAACTGCACTCACGTTTGACCTCTCAGAACAACAAACCTTAGATCAAGCAAATTTTCTTTGACCCATCTTGACCCTTGGACAAAGAAAAAGTACAGAGCACTTAATATGTTATGAGGGCTGAGGGCAGGTTCAGAAAAGAATACAACAGAGGCCTAATCTATTCCCTCCCTGCAAATAGTCCAAACTCCTTGTTTAACCTCCTCCAGTATCTTATATAATTATTGTTCTATATTTGTGCTAATAGCATGCCAAGCAGGTCAAGTGTTCAAAAGGCTTTTGACTTCTCCCCTCAAATGGCTTCAACAGTTAACCCTCTGAGCAGAGCCTTCATGAGCCAGCACTGTGTGAACTTTACACTGATAAACTTCCCATTAGGGATGGACCAATCGATACTAAAATACTGACCTATAATAGAAATCCTTCCTGACTTTTTTTTAGGGAATCCATCCTTAAAAATATCAGGGGTTTCTTTAAACATGTTGTAAACCTTTCCCCATGCCAAGGAGAAAAACATGAGGCCGAGATGCATGAAATCATGTCTTTAACCAAAAAGCACTCAGTCTGTCTGCAGCAACCCAGTCTAACAACAGTTCTAGCACACAGGCTTTTATACTATGTGTATCCCTGCAGCTGCAGGTACCTCTGCTAAGGACTAAGTCAGGACAGTAGACATTCTGCTGTAAACACAAGTTATTACCAAGGACAATGGATATTTTGCTGTGTCAGGAAACACTTGCAGCCAGTAGCTGAAGTAGATATTTGCTAGCCATATGTTACGATCCCACAAAAGGATATGGTCTAGAGCTGAGTGTGGGGACAGTAACATGTGTGGAGTAAGTGTATGGACATGGCTAGCCAGTGAACTAACCAACAAGTGACTATATAGTAATCATGTGTTTATTTATAACACAGCACAAAGCCAGAGGATGCCATACGAACACAGAACAAAGGTAAGCAGACACTGATAGACAAGAAAACTGGGGTGTCAGAGAGCTGAACCAACCTGGGAGAGAACATAAAAGGCACCAAAAATAAGAAAATAACAAAAGGAACTACACTAGGCTGTAGTTCTTTTAGTAACTTATGTAACTAGCAGAAACCAAACAGCTAACAGCTAGCTAACTGCTACTCTAGGCTAAGCTATAACAAAAAAACAGGGGGTGGTACCCTAAACTAGTGTGTCTAGACAGACCTGTGGCAATGTAAGTGTGCGCACGTTCTAAACTGATCAGTCACTGGTGAATTCTGCAATTTAAAAATAGGGAAAAGGAAATACACACAGACACACACATTTTCGAAGCCGCTTATACTTCTGGGTTGCGGGGGAAGCTGGAGCTTATCCCAGCGGTCAATGGGCAGAAGGCAGGATACACCCTGGACAAGTCGCCAGTCCATCGCAGTGAAAAGGAAATAACAAAAAAAAAAAACACTAAAAAAACACTAAAAAACAAGCAGAAAATTAAATAAAAATATTTGTTTTATGAAAATGAACGGGCTTGATGCTGAAAATGTGTGTGAGATATTGA